GGGCAACGTGAGCCGCGACGTCGGAAGTCTGGAGGAGCGCCTAGGTTTGCACCAGGCAGCTCCGCCCCTCGCGTTCGGGGGTGGTCCTTCCAGAAGTCGCCCCGCCCACGCCCCACGGCCGCCCACGCCCATCGAGGCCCAGCCTGGCGCGTGGACTTGGCGGCCGCCCGCGGGCTGTGGGACGGAGAGGACCCGGGCTGCTGAGCAGCCATCCTGGCGCACCACGGAGAGGTGCTGCCGCCTCGCGCGGGGGACTGGAAGTCCTGGACAGTGCGGCCTCGTAGCCCAGACGCCCGTCACCGCCCTTCCCCAGGCATCCAGAGGATTTGTCCGCGGCCATCGAGGGCGGAGCGGAGCACGTGACGAGCTGGCGCTGCTGCTGGCGTGGAGGCTGGCGGTGAGGGGCTTCCACGTGGGTGGCGGAACCTCGGCGGGCGGCCCGCCTCCTGGTGTTGGGGCTTCCTTTTGGCGGCGGCCCCTGCGCCGTGGGGCGGGGCTTCCTCCTGGGAGTGAGTCTTCTCGTGGTGGGGCAGGCCCCCCTGTCGAGGTCCACCACCAGTGACCATTGCACGTACCCCAACTCTGCTGCACAGGGCCAATGCCACCCGCGCCTGCAAGCAGCCGGTGACCCCGAGCTGGTAGCAAAGCGCTGGGCCGCCGCCTCCCTCCACGGCCTCAAGGTTAGTGGGGAGAGCTGGTTAGATGGGCGGGTCACAGGAGGGACCAGTCAATGACTTTGTGAGATGAACCGATGGTCACATTCATGACATGGAGGGTCGTTGATAATGGCCACCCCCACCGACGTTGTTCTGACACTGGCGGGTCTGAATGCTGGCCTTTCACTTCCCCCAGCAGTCTTAGCTGTTGCAGCTCCTGAGGGGGCAGCCTTCATGTCCAATGAGGCAGTGTACCCCGTACCTGGCCTGCCAGCCCTGCAGTATACTCGAGGTACTCCCAGCTGTACCTGGGCCAGGTGTGGAAGCATGCCACAGCCCTGAGCCCAGCTGAGGGGACTGTTGGTAGGCTAGGAGGACATTCAGGACTCTGGTCAGGATGCAGTGTACAGAGCTGTTCCGCGGGACAGGGTGCCCTGGGCCCCAGACTCCCTGTGCACCTCCCAGCTAGTGCCTTAGGGTTGTGGAACTAGCACTATGGACCTGGGCTGTGGGGTAGAAGCTGCTCCCAACCTGCTCCCTGATCTCAGCCCTAGCCTAGCCACCCCTGAGGATACCAGGCCAGCCAGGAAGTATAGGACCCAGTCCAACTGAACTTGACTATGGCCTGCTCACCTGCTAGGTGACTGTAGGAGCTCAATAAATGCTTGCTGAACTCACTCCAGACCATGAGGTCCACAGCCCCTCTCCAGGGGCTCCCACTTCCCACATAGACATACCTCATACACCTGCAGAGGAGCAAGGGGGAATCCAGGCTGCCCACATGGAGGGAAGAGCCCTCATAGTCGGCTCAGTGAGTGGAGGGGAGGCCAGACCAGCCCCCAGAGCCCTATTACAGCTACCTGGTGTTGTGTAAAATATTTATTTATTCTCCAAAAAGGCTCAGACTGCAAGTCATGGAGGGAGACCAGGACAGGGTCTCCTCTGGGACCACCCTTGGGACCTCCACCACCCAGCCTGGCCCAGCAGTCCTAACACCCCCAGGCCTCGGAGGGGGGCCAGGGCTGGTGTAAGGCTTGGCTTGGACTCAGTAGGCCACAGGGGCCACCTGCCCTCACGGGAGAAGCAGTCTTAAGACCTACTTTCACAGAAGGTGGACATGCAGGCCACGCCCTGGCCCGTGTGGCCCCCAGGAGCTCCTCAGGGTGGTGGAGGAATATGGGCACCCAGCAGGTCATAGGCGAAGATGTTCCAGAAGATGGCGAAGAGCAGGAAGGTGCCGTAGGCAAGCAGCACCACCCACCAGCCGCACTGGTCCCGAAGGCGTTCCTCATAACTGCGCAGGATGGTCAGGCCCATGCTGACCCCCACCACCGCACCAGCCAAGTGCGCCATGAAGCTGGGCTGTGGGCCCGAGGCGGGCAGTGGCGGGGAGAAGCGCAGCCACACAGCCCGGCCCACCTCGGAGCTCACTGCAGAGGGAGTTGACACATGGGAGGCACCCCTGGCCCTGGGCTCAGTTCCCCGCCCGCCTCCGGCACCTTTCATCCCTACTTACTGCACACCAGGGCCAGCACCATTCTCAGCAGCTTGTAGGGACACCTCATCCCAGCCCAGTTCTGATGGGACATGAGACAGGCAGTGAGGCAAGCTTTGTGGGCCCCCCTCCCCCCAAGCCCACCCAGGTTGTTTGATTACCATGACGACATTGGCCAGGTGTGCAGAACACAGGGCGTAGACTCCGCCAGAGCCCCCCACCACAGGGGCCCGCATGTCAGTAATGGAGACAGTCAGGGAGCCTGTGTGAAGCAAGGGGAGGGCTGTGAGGATGAGGCGTTTCAGTGAGGTGGCCAGGGGCTAGGCGCCTGCCTCACCTGCCAGCACGCCAGCCAGGTAGAGCAGGCTGATGCGGAGCAGGCCATGCACCATTTCCAGGGGCACCCCAATCATCAGCTGTAGGAGTGCGTTGAACCCCAGCTGCTCCAGCCTGGTCACGTAGAGGCAAATGGGTTTGAGAGGTGTGATCAGCCATCAGGCTCCCAGCCCCAGCCTCTGAACTCAGGGGTACCAGAAGCGGGCCGGCACTCACCCAACGTGCATGAACATGTAGGTGAGGAAGCGCCAGGCCCGCGCCCGGTGCCCGGGGTGGTATACGAGAGGGCTCTTCATGTACTCAGGGTGGTAGGTCTGCAGCACCCACTTGTTGAGACGGGCCCCATAGCACAGGAACACGATGATCTAGGAGAGAAGGGCATTAGGACTGGGCCGGGCCAGGGAGGTGGGTGGCAGACAAGGGGTAGGCTCACCTGGGCCAGAGTGACCGAGGCCATAAACACAGGGGGTGGGCAGCTTCGGTGCCGGTAGAAGTACCAGTGGCGGTCCACCTCTCGGGGCAAGATCTCGTAGGCCACGTAGCGCACAAACCGCTTATAGACACCCAGGCCCGGCTCGTCTAGCAGCCCCTCCCGGGGCAGTGCCCGCTGTCCATTGGCGATGGCCCGCTTAAAGCTGCTTGAGCGCTTGCTGCTGATCTGGGGGAGGGGGCCTAAGCATGGGGCATCACACTACCCCCACGACCTCTGTGCCCACCTGGCCTGCCCAGCTCCTCACAGGGTTTGCAGCCACAGCGGGGAGGTAAGGAAAGGGGCTACCTGCCCACCCAACTTGCCAGGCACTATGCGGGCCACGGCCTGGGCCCCCACCCCTGTTGCCCACCCACTTGAGCACTGACCAGGTCCACCAGCTCCTGGTAGCAGACCTGGCCCCGCTCATTGCTCTGGGCCAGGGCCACCAGCATGTCCAGCTTGGCTGGATCCAGGGGTAGCTCATGGCTGTGCACCAAGCCAGTGAAGGTGTCTGCACCGATGAAGCCCGTGTTCTCAGGGTCCAGCTGCTGGGGTGGGGGGTGGAGGAGGTGATGCTGGCCAAGGCCTGAGGGTGGACCAGACCCACAGACCCAAGGGCTGCCCCAAGCCAGCTGGAAAAGGCAGTCTCCCAACACCCTTGGGCTAGATCCCTGTGCCCACGTGGTCTCAGGAGCTGCCAGGGAACCGGTTCCTGAGTCCCAAGCCTCTAGGGGTCTCCTCACCTCATTTTGGCTCTGTCCATCCTGGAAGGGTAGGGCTAAAGTCTGAGGACAGTCGCCCCCCCACCCCCTTGCCCTTTCTCAGGCGCCCTGGTCTGGCTCACCCTTTCCTGGGGTCTCAGGCAGTGGGCCAAGGTCGTGCATGAGAGGGTGTGGGGAATGGGCATGAGCGGGGTCCGGGCTGAGGCGCTGTGAGTTCCATTTCCCCAGCCCACCCCAACGGCAGGGGCGGTGCCGGCGCCCCTCTACCCCAACGCACCTGCTCCTGGATAAGCTGCAGCAGCGAGCTCCTGTCCATAGAGCCGGGCCGGGTCCGGGGTCGACGGCCGCGGCCGGGAGGGGCTGCTCTGCGGTGACGCGCTCCAGGATGGTGATGGCCCGACCAGCGCCCCAGCCTCCTCACCCGCTCACCACATGCAGGCTTCCCCAGCATCGCCCCCGCACCCTGGCAGAGCGCTCTACTACGAAGAGGGGACAGTCGTGGGAAACAGCCGCAGGCGGCAGCCAAGCCCCTGGCACATCCCTTCTCCCGAGACGGGGCCTCAGCGCCCACACCACCTCCTTGGGGAAGCCTCCCCGGACCACCCCGCTACCTGTGACTCCCCGGGCCGGGGCTCCCTGAAAGCGGCTGCCTGCCAGGGTGCTGGTCCATCTGCAGTCGGGCAGCAAAAGGCCCCGCAGATGGGTGCCAAGGCTGACGGGGCTATAGGTGACGGGCAGAGAGGAGGGGCGCCTGCATGCTCTTTGCAGACCAGCCCCAGCACACGTCTTCCACTGGAGCCCCTGCAGCCACATGCTGGATAGTGACGGTGGAGACAACCCCAGGAGGGCCCTGGGGAGCCCAGGCAGAGCCCGCGAGGGACAGGGAGGGCTGCAGCTGAGACAGGAAAGGCCCTATTTCCTGGATAGGCAGGTAGACCCCTCCAACACGGGGTTACAGACTAGGAATGTGTCACCACAGCAGCCCCTCAGAGCAGCACTCAGAACCCCCACGCCATGGAGCCATCAGTCCTAGCAGCTGGGCTTCAGGCTAGAGCTCAAGTGAGCACACCTCAGCAGCTGGGAGATTAGCAGGACGGTGGCAGTTCAAGAATCTTACCCTCTCCCCTGGCTGGTGTGGCTCAGTGGTTGAGTGTTGCCCTATGAACCAGGAGGTTCCAGTTTGATTCCTGGTCAGGGCACATGCCCAGGGTTGGGGGCGATCCCCAGTGTGGGGAGTGCAGGAGGTAGCCAATCAATGATTCTCTCATCAATCACTGATGTTTCTATCTCACTCCTCCTGCTCCCTTTCTTTCTGAGATCAATAAAAAAAAATATTTTTCTTAGTCTGATCCCAGACCCTTCTGGGTCAGGCCTGAGCAGGGTAGGTAACTCCCCACGCCTCCTAGGAACAGCACTGATGCTCTGGGAGAAACCTTGGTGTGGAAGCTCTGTCTTGCATGGAATGACTGATGGCAGGAGGGGCACCTGCGGGGGTGACCAGGGTCTTCCACCGAGTCCCACCATGGGCTGCCTCTGCTCCACGTCCCACAACTCTGGCCAAGTAAGCACCTGGGACAGGTGTTGAAACATAATCCCCTTAGGCTGGGGTCTCTTGCTGTTCCCCAATCAGTGAGTGACAGGTCCCTGGTCAGGATGTGAGAACAGGCAGCTCCCCCACACCAGCAGCCATCGTGCGCCCCGGTTCCACCTCAGAATCCCAGGTCCTCCCCACAGCTCAGGCAGGCTACCGGATGGACGCCGAGGTTGGGGAGGAGGCAGGCCACCTCAGGAAAGCAGGGACCTCAATGTGGAGGCTGCCAGGCTGCAGCTGAACCCCAACTGGACCTCATGTGGGCCTGTTTGCAACCTCAGGCCTGGAGGGCAGGTGTGGGGGGTCAGGAGTGAAGTTTCCAGTCCACAGAGACAAAGGACATGATTAAGAAAAGCCACCGTCAGAAAGTAGGGTCTAAGATGGAAAAGACACTGAAGTTTAATCAGCAAACCCAATCTCACATCTTCCACGAGTGCAGCCCTGGACCAGTCTCCCATTGATGGAGCGGGGAGCAGCACAATGACCCAGTCACTTCCTGCCCCCACCCCCTGCCTGTGGCCCAAAGCTCTGCCCTCTGACTCCCCTCAGACCCACTGGCTGCCTGGGACCAGGAATGGGTGGAACCCTGAGAATTCAGATCTAGGATCACTGGCTTCCTCACCTATACCCCCCAGTCTCTCCAACGTGATGCCCACACAGGTGGGTGATGCTGGGCAGGACACAGGCTGGCAGGACCTCGGGGCCCACCACTGGGGTTGGGCAGTGAGTAGGCTATGCTCAGAAGCCAAGTTTAGATAGAGGGCAGCTCCACCAAGTGGGTGGCCCAACACCAGCACCCTGGGACCCTGGGGTCGAGATCAGACTGCAGGGCACCAGGGCCTCATCGACTCTTCACCAGGACCCTGTAGAGTGAGAAGCTGAGGATGGCAGCAACAGCAGCCCCAAAAGCCCCCAGTGTCACCCGGAGCCAGAAGGAGGTGGTGTGCAGCTCCCCATGGACCAGGTACCTGTAGGAGAGAGGCTGGTTGGAGACACCCTCAGGGTGCTGTCCAGATGCTTGCTGCTGTGCCCCCCTCACCACCACCACCCCAATGTCCTGGAAAGTCACGGAGCTGCTACCTGTCAGTGTCTAACACAGCAGAACTCCCAGACCACAGGGCAGCTGGTGAGACAGGCCCCAGAGGGCCTCTCAGGACATCAGCACCTGACTAAGGCCCACCCTGCAGTCCTGACTGACTCCAATCTGACACCACAGCTGTGCCACTCTCCTGGCGACAGGGACCACCAGTACCCTGGGACAGGGCAGGCCTCCCACCACAGAGGCTGTGGCGCTGGTACCCACGGGAAGGTGGCCATGGTGGCAAGCCGGGTGAAGACAGCTGTGCCTGGCTCTCCTGGGCCAGCGCAGGAGAACGGGACAGGGGCCGGCAGCCGGTGCCTGCGGCAGAACTCAGCTGGAGACAGCCCAGGCAGAGGAACACCTTCCGGCAGGTCGGCCTTGGAGGAGACGAAGAGGCAGGGGGTCTGCCCATCCATGTAATGGCGCTGCGGGGAAAGGGCCGCGTGATGCACAGTCCCGGAGCAGGCAGGTGAGGGTGCTGGGGGATGACCGCTCAGCCATGCTGCCCACAGGAGCTGGGGTAGCTGGAGGCTTGCCTTGTAGATGCTGGTGCAGAGTGCAAAGGACTGGGGGTCACTGCCATCGAACATCAAACAGGCGACATCACAGGCAGCATCAGACGCAGTGGACAGCAGGCTGTCTGCATCCACCTCGCAGAGCTGGACAGAGGGCGGCCTCAGGGAGCTCAATTCCCCAGGCCACATTGGGACAGCACCGCCCAGCATGCACCTGGGATCTATTGCCGGGACCCCCCTCCCCAACACTCACTATCAGGTACTTCTCCTGCCCGTTGACCTGCACCGTGTTTATGGCATAGATGGCAGGTGTCTTGTGGCGCTCCGTGGTGTCCGGATGCTGAGGAGGGAGGTACCTGAAGCTCGCTGGCCCCGATGCTTCCCAAAGCCCCTAACCCCGCCCCGCAAGGCCCTAGATGGGAGCGAGGTCCCCTCACCCAGCACACAGTGATACTCACCCCTAGGCCACGGCCAAGGAAAGCCTGCAGGAAGGCGGACTTGCCCACGCCACGCGCCCCCACCACCTTGCACAGAAGGACATTCCTGTGCGTTTGTCCCTTCTCCTGGTCCAGCCTCTTGTCACGGGTGACTGTGAGAGGATGGAAAGGACAAACAAGAGTAAGTGGCTGCCAGGGAGGAGCTGGCCAGACCCCTGTGAGGGTGGGCGCCCACCTGTGATGGCATGGGTCTGGGAGTCCTGCTTGCAGAGGGTGGGGTAGCCCAGGTAGCCAAGGTGCTCCAGACAGCGCCGGACATCCAGGTAAGTCACCAGACTGGGCATAAGGGGGCAGGGGGAGCGTCAGCATCATGACAAGGCAGCGCTGTTTGCTAAGTGGGGCAGGTGGGAGCTGCACTTACGTCCACTGGCAGAGGTACCCGTGCAGGGGCAGCCGACCTGCTTCGGTTCGGACTTCTTGCAGGAACTGAGGGCCCCAAGGGGGTGCTGGGGACACACTGAATAGGTCCTGCAGCTCCGCCAGCGAGAGGGCTCCATCATGGTCCTGCAGGCAGAGGGGCTGTGGTGACGCTGGCTGGGGGCCAGGATAGGAAACCAAGACAGGCAGCACAGCAGGGTGACAGTGCCCTCACCTGGTCATGCTTTTCAAACACCCTCTGCACAAACTGGTAGCCAAAGTGGTTGAGCTCTGTGCTGCAGCCAGGGGGCACATGAAGCCTGTGGGGTTGCCATCCGTTTCCACCAGGCTCAGAGGGTGCAGTCCGACCCTCCCTGCGAGTCTGACTGAACCCCAGAGTTCCTCCAACTCTCTCCCTTGACTGAGCACAGCAGAGACGCAGGCAGAGGTGTGGCCGGGGCCAGGGGTCACCTGCTCGGCATTGAGTCCCAATCTGCCTGCCCACAGCACGGTGCCTCCTACACAGGCCATCCTCTGCCCGAGCCAGGGCTCCAACCCCACCCCCACCCGGCACCATCTAACACAGAGCCCATCCCCCACTCACAGAGGGAAGAGGTAGTCGGTGGACAGCTCGAGTGTGTCGCCGTAGCCGAAGCGCCGCAGGATGGTCCACGTGGTCTCATGGCGGCCACGCTGGATGAAGAGTGTGTTCAGGAAGAGGAAGCCTGTTCAGGAAGCAGAGGAGGTGACACTGGGTATCACCTGAGCCTCTCCCCACACCAGGAGGATACAGGGCGCCAGGGCTCACCGTCCAGGGTCAGCCGGTCATCCCGCACCCCGCCTGCCACGTTCTTGCGCACCACCATCTTGACATCCTCCAGGGCTTGTGGGGCCAGGGGATGCCCAAAACAGCATTTCTGCCTCCAAGAGAACGTTGCTGTTAGTAAGCCAGCTGTCCCCCTGACAGCTGGGCCTGGCCATTAATGGCATGGAGCCCGGCTGCGGCCAGAAAAGGGTGGGCACTACCAGGAGGCGGATGGGGCCCCACCTGGAAAGCGTTGAGCTCCTCATCACTGAGCGCCTGGTCCAGGTCCTGGTCTGAGAGCCTGAAGATGCGTGTGAGGGCCTGGGCGCACGCGGGCTTCAGCTGTGGGGACAGCCAGCTCAGCATGTTCCCCCAATCCCACCTGCTGGCCACCCCCGCCCACGCCAGCTGCTCACCTGCTTGGTCTCAGGGTCATAGAGAGGAGCTGTGGGGTGCAGCACGGCCTTCTGTGCGTAGTAGAACAGCTCCGAGATGTTCCTCAGGTTCCGGGCCGAGCACTGGGAACCACGG